TCCAGACGCTTTTCTTTGCAAGCTCCTTTGACTACGATGACCTGGATGACTGAGAACCTTCACAGACCTAAAACAGGAGACAGCTAAGACAGAGCCAGAGACTTAACAAGGTACGGGAAACACACAGCAGGCAGAATAAACTGAAACAGAATATAAGCAAACTATAGCCAAGAATTAGAAATATAGCCTGAGTATATAAACAAACATAATATCTGCAATCCATTAATTAAAAAAGAGTCCATAACACACAACGTTGCATCAAAAGACCCAGGACCATGACAAAATCTCTTCATCTGGTTTCTCTCAAAAATATTTGTATGTTTTCAAAATAGTAAAGTCAGTCACATCATTTGTAGTGTTTATTTTCCCTCAATCATCTAGTATCCAAACAATCATGTCCTTAATCTCATTATATTGTTTTATCAGCTAATCATTATTTTCACATAATTTCTGTAAATCCATGCTTTGGTCAAGGACACAGGAGTATTATTACAGTATTAAATTATTCAATTTCACAACAATAGTTTGACTTTCTGCTCAAAAAGAGGCTTTGACTGACCAGAGGACAGCTGGCCTGTATCCAAAGGTAACAAAATCAGTCTAGGCTAACACCTACAAAATCCAGTTTGTCACATTATCAGTCTTATAATAAGTTAACAGACTGCTGGCTGTTACTTACGATGATGGTGATATGGTGGTTTTTTTTATATTAACTCTCAGAGATTCAGACTGTATTCCCTTGTGTTTTGTTTTCCACTGTACTCATGCACTGTGTTGTACTGTTTTTTCTCTCCTCTCAGGGAGCAGTGGTTTCGACTAAGGCCTTCATCCCACCGTAGGCGTCACAGCTGGCTGCAGAACGTCCATCTTAAAAGTATGCACAGCCATTCCAACTTGCATGCCCAGGGACGTGCACTAACATTATTACAGGCTGTCACTGTGGAGAATCTGAGGTTGGCATCCAAGGAGGAAACGACCTCAAAATCTCCACAGATATTTAGCAGGATATAGCTAGCTATCCACACATAATTTCCTGCTACAGTCACCTTAAAGGGGCCGACCTGAAACACCCACTGATAGACAAAAACGCTGAGTGTGAGTCTGAGTGTGTGAGCACCTGGATTAGACAACCACTTTTGGTGCCTTTCATTTGTAAGTGAGCTATGATGTGTTAGGGATTTGACTGTGTTTTGGATCATTGTCTTGCTGAAACATCCACCTTCGTTTCATGTTCATCATCCTGGCAGAGGGCAGCAGATTTCAATCAGTTTAATCAAGAATATCTCAGTACATTTTTCCATTCATCCTTCGTTTAGTTATATGGAGTGTAACAGTGCCATAATAATGGAGTCATGTATGGTGAGTGTGCATACAGGCCATAGCAGTCAAGTGCATTACTTATTGTTTCCTTTGAAACAATTGTATGTTTTGCAACAATAAGACCTCACAGGTCTCTTTGGTTTTAACCATCATGAGATATTTCTTGTGTGAAACTTTGGTAATTTTTTTTATAGGCCATCAGTTAGGACTGAACAGGCTGATATTAATTTGCACTAAGTGGCAGGATTGTTTTCTAATTACTTATAGATTTCAGCTGGTGTGATAATCTTCCATGTTTTTTCCACCTCCCTTTCTTCATGTGTTCAATACTTTTTCCTTGTGTCTTTTCTCATTTTTGCACATAACTTAATTTATAGACATTTATGGTTCAATTTCTTTGCATGTGTGGATTGGATGGGTTGTTACTGACAACTATGCTATGTCAATAACACCCTTAGAAATACATTTTCTTTAAAAAAAAATTGGCGATGTGTTCAATACTTATTTTACCCACTGTATATCTATTCATATCATTGGTTTCTCTCTAAAGATTTGCATGTACTCAAAACACTAAAGCCAGTCAGTATTTTGTGTGGCTGTGGCTCAGGAGGTAGAGCATGTCACTTGCTAATTGCAAAGTTGGTGGTTCGACTCCCGTCTGCATGCAAAATATCCAGCCACATGGAGAAGGAGACTAGAGGCCAGGATCAAGGTAGCACGGAGGGAAGTTAGCCAACTATTGCTGCTGCAGAAAGGTGCGATGAAGAAGCTGCCTAAGAAATATAGAAAGCTGTCCATACCTGAGGCCTTGGACACTGCCAAGGAAAGACTTGAAGAGGTACACCAGAGAGATAAAAGGCAGGAGAACCCTCTTCAGTGGCAGGGAAACAATATGAGAACAGGACCACCAAGGCTGGAGACAGAGCATTACTGGAAGAGCATATGGAAGAAGGACGTAACCCATAACAGCAATGCTATCAGTGGGTAGTGGATCTAAGAGCAGACCACAGCAACCTCCCTGAACAAGGTCCAGTAACCATCATAGTGGCGGTCCTCTATAGTGTTCTCTAGACAAGATCAACATGACCCTAAGAGCCTTCATCAGGAACTCAATGGGGATGTGGTGAACAACACTAAAGACCAACTTCAAGCCCATAGCACAAGTCACAGTCAATGTGGGATCTACCAAGTGGACGCTCTGTCCCCATTGCTGTTCTGCATAAGCTTGAACCCCCCTCAGTGAGATCATTGATAAGACTGGCTAAGGATATCGACTACAGAATGAAGCCATCGTCAGCCACCTCATCTACATGGATGACATCAAACTGTATGCCAGGAGCGAATGATACATCAGTTCACTGAGCTACACCACAAGGATCTACAGCAACGACATCGGAATGTCATTCAGAAGTGTGTACGCAAGCAGATCCAGAAACAACATCCGAGATCCCTGTCCAGAAGAACGCAGTCCTAGAAACAGTAAAGATACTGCGCAGGACCCTCAAGCTGCCAGGCCTCTGGTAGAGAACCCAAACTTGAAGTATATATATATACATACACATGACATACATACACATTTCTTCAGAAGACTTTGACATATACTTCTTTTCTGGAGACTTAATCTAACCCAAACTCAGACTGCTACTTTACTCACTTTATTTTCAGGTGAACTCTGAAACGAAGTCTGAGAACAAGTGTTCAGCTGAAATAAAGTAATTCACATTACTGGAATTCATATTTTGTCTCCAAAACAGAGTTAGGTCAAGACTGTATAAACAGAATAATGGTTCCCACAACATCAGTAATACAAGTGCACTCAAACACAGACGCACACAGACGCACAGGGCAGTGGATAAAAGCAGAGTTTTTGTCTGGGAACAGAAGCAGATGGCACAGTTGAAGTCGCAACATCGGTAATGAAGCTGAAATAGCACTCAAGCAATATTTGATCTTTATTAATGGCAATGGGATTTTATTCGAAAAAAGGTTTAAATGAAAGAGATAGAGATAGCAGCACAAAGCAGAGGGCGTGGAGGTGATCATCAGATTATGTCTGTCACTGTTGAGATTTTGTACTTTTTTTTGTGCTTTTGGCAGGGTAAGACATACAAAGGAATTAGGTCTCTTTGTTGAAATGAAAGTGTTTACACATGGGCATTAACTCCCTGTTGCAGGTAATGGTCAAATCAAAGAAGACAGTTTAAAGGCCACAGCATATTGTAGTAATTAATAATAGTAATTATTGTGCCAGCAAACACGTGAATGGAAAACATTTAACACAAAGTGTTAGTGCTGTTATTGTACACAGTGGTGAGTTCCAGCATTCACAAAGCTGCATTCAGTCTCATCTCTTGTCCCTGTGCTGTCTCTCTGCAGAGATCCTAACACTTACTGTCAAACTGCTTTTTCATCTTTGGGATTTCCTTGTCGCAATTTTCTCGTTCTCTTCACAGGTTGTCCTCCAGTTGTCTCTTGGGGCTTTCTTCACCAACTTTTTGTTGCTCAAACTTTATTTTGATGGGTTTTACTTCATCCTCAAAGGCCTCAGTTCTCAGCTTTTCCATCGTCTGCTTTTCCATCTGCATGTCCATTTCTTTGTGAATTTTCTTCCTCTGATCTGTGAGTCCATCATCCATTTGCTTTTTCCCCTCTTCTCCTCTGAACTCTGGACGAATGAATTTAAGTATCCTTTTTCTTTCTACTCCACCTGCTCCTCAAACATGTTGGTAACTTTGTGAGGTCTTATCAGTCAAGTCTTACTCAGAACTTCAGTCAACTGCTTCTCTTGTATCTTCTCCTTTCTGTCATTTTCCTCAGGCTCTCCCCTAAAATCCTCCCCTTTTCTCTTACCAGTTTCTCCTTCCTCTGATTTTTGCTGAACCGTCTCTAAATTTCTCTCATAGTGCTAATTTGTTACATTCTGCTGCTCCTAGTTCTTATTCAATACCCACTTCTCCATCTGTAGGTGATGAGCTACATCTTCATCCATTTTCTAGCAATTTCCTGTGATTTTGTGCTTTTTTTAAATTACCTTGCTTCATAATATCTACCAAGCAAAAGGACTTCCAGCACCTGTTCTTTGCTACAACATAGTACTTTCCATCTCTTGTGGCCAGCAGCTCAGCCAGATTCCTGCTCCACCTATCACACCCCGTTCATGGATGTGCACCACCAAGAAATGTCTATTAGTTCTGTCTCACTTCCTCTTTTTCCTCCTATCTAGGAAGTAGAGGAGGCTAATACATCTTTCTTCTTCCACTTTCTTCTTCACTTTTTGTGAACAAGAAAGGAAAAAGCAAAGTGCAAAACTGATGAATGACATGAATTATTGTTTATCCTCATTATTCTCCCAAAACACTGTAGTTCTGTAGATATCTCGGTAGGTATGTCAGACCATATGGTCCCTCTGGACTCTAACCATCATTACTGCTTTTTTTCTCATGATTGAAGAAAGTTTGTATATCTGTAGCACTCGGCTCAGCAGGCCTCTGCTCTGAGAAAACACAGTCCAGAAAGAAGCAGCCTGATAATGCAGATACAAGCAGTTTGTGAAGAGGTTGGGAGGAGTGTTGTCAACAGGATAGTAATGTGATATTTATTTATGTATTCGTCATTTAGGTACCAGGGGTCAAAAATGAGTTGTTATTCTGTCCTTGTTGAGGTCAAACAATCCAAAGAAACAGACTGAAGCAGACACATCTGCACAAGAATGTCTAAAAGTGTTTACAATAACTTTGTGTTGCATCTCTTGGCGAGAGGAAATTATCCGCTAAATGTTGTCCTTCGTGTTGCTTTCATAGCACGCTGCTAACTGTAGGCTAACGCAGTATTTCTTTTTCCAAACTCCACTAGATGGAAGCAAAGATTAGTTCTTCTCATAAGAGCCCGACAGCGATGTCTTTGTGACAGCAATGACAAGGAGGACAATAGACATTTTTGTTTTTTAAATATTATGCAACAATTGATTGGTTTTTTTTATTATTGATGTAATTTTTTTAAAATACTGCAGAAAGAAAATCATTTAGTCAGCTATGAAGGAATTTATTCGGTGTCTGAAAATGGGAAGATAAATAATAATGAACTTCAATTTAAGCCTGCAATAAACTTTATTACTTCCTATTACTAATATTTCCTTCCCATTCAAAAAAGATTTAAAGAACAATGTGCTTTTTTGTTCTTGTTTTTGTTTTGTGTTTTTTATTTAGGAACATGAGAGCCAGTCAGTTCCCCAGTTCCCCTCCCCAGACCTTCACCCACTGCCAAACCAGTCGTGTTGGATCATGCTGCATGCAGTATTACATTTACTACCGTGTCTCCAGACTCTATCAAGTATGTCACATGTGCTCAGTGTGAACCTGCTGACATCTGTGAAGAGGGCAGGCACAAGAGTTGGACCTGCTTGTTCTGGTGTTCTCTGGTGAATGCTGATTGATCTGCATGGGGCACTGTTGTGACCACAGTTCCCACTAAAGGACACTGAGCCCTCATGCCAGGCTCAGAAATTTATATGTGTGTGTGTGTGTGTGTGTGTGTGTGTGTGTGTGTGTGTGT